TTCCGGTCGTAAGATGCATCGAATCGCCTACACGGAAGAGAGCTTCGTTGTAAAACACGTTATCGATAATAATGTTCCGTCACACGAGACGTATAATGTTACAATTAATGTTATATTGAGGTAAAATTACAAGTTTGTACACTCTACGTGAAAAAAAATTTTTTTTTAAATTCTAGTTTTTACAATTTCTAATTTTTTTATGTAATTGAATTGCTCGTTTATTTGAAATTTCATACATAATATATTTTTAACACAATGTAACATATTATATTACATATATGAGTGTTTGTGCTCTCTTAATTAATTAATAGAGTAATTTGTCCACACATGTTTCTAAATTGTTTGATAAATTTTATAACAGCTGCATACAGTTGTTGCCCCGAGAGTATCTTTTACTTTGTAAATGAGGACACTGGGGAAGAAAAATTGCTGCATAAGAAAACAAAATGTTGCAAAATATGAGAGAAAGACTCAGTCTCTATTTATTTCAACTCCAATTTCAAGCACCTTTACGGTCATTTATGTAAGATTCACAATGTTGCCTTGTTTGCATTAGAATTTTATAGCTTTGAGAATCGTACAGCTTCATATAACCGGGCGGGTTCAATGCTCTTTTCATTATCTCACCATCAAATGACAGGCAGAGATCAGAGGGACGATGATTGAGTTCTTTTAGCATCTCTTTTTAGTCTTCTCTCGAAAGGACGAGCACGCGCGAGATTTTCTCTTCCTTTTACTCTCAATCCGCATACTGACGTTAGTTTCGCTCTTCGAGACGAAGCGACGAAAAATCGGAGATCAAAAGACGACAGGCGAGGACATTATCCTTCCTTTAATGCCACTTGAACGCCGAACTGGCACAAGCGATTTCCGGGGACAAAAGAATTCTTGATGGGGAAGTGGAATAATAGTTTGCCGAATTTTCACGCGCGCGTTGCACGGCGCAATATCTATGCAGATTAACCGACCCGCACTTGCAGATTTGAATGTTCGATGTTTGGAATTGAGAGTCATGCCAACGCATCCCGGCCTCATAACGGAGACAAAACAACGATCTAGCTGTCTGGCATACTAGTTTTATTCCCCTCATTAATTACGTCCTTATGTGTGCGCATATCCGTGCTTACAATGGATAATTGATCTCGCAGAAGTGAAATTAACCTTTGCGCAATATTTCTATTATGCCCGTTTTTATTAGTGAATTTTAATCTCGGTTTTTTAATCTAATCTAATTTTCAAGACTAGAAAAAAGATGAAGATAGTTGAATCGTGATTAAAATAAAATTATATTCATGATAGAAACGGACATTAGTCAGATTAACGATTAAACGATACAACGTATTGTCATGGGGCTATTCTTTATATTGACATATAGAATTAACACTTCTCAAAAGAAAAAAACAATTGTTATATTGTCTATTTTTAAAATTTGAACAATTGTTATATTATCTATTTTTTCCTTGAATTATTGACATATTTCATAGATTGACGCGAAAGTTCCCATTACGACTGTGACACTATCCAACTAGTTTGACAGATTTCAATATATAATCTGATATATATTGATTCAATTAGATACAGTTTTGATTTTAGAAGCTATTTAAAAAATACATTTGAACATTTATAGTTAGAAAAAAACCATTTAATTAGAACAAAATGTTCAATCAATAAATAAAGAAGCGCTAAATTCGATCGAGGCTAGATCCTGGTGTCTAATAAAATTTCTGTGTGTATCTTTTATCATCAAAAAATAATTCTCTTCTAACATAGAAAGTTTAATAATATTTCTTTATTCAAAAGAAAAATTCAAAAGAATTATAGTTCAAGCGCGAAAATATCTCCTGTGAAATTGTTTCTCAATATATTTCCTCCCTTCATCTATTCTCGTTTCATTTTCCCGCGCATCGCTTCATCCCTTCGCGGGCTCGCGTTGCAACCGCGAGTTTGCCAGTGCACTCCATCCGGCGAGGAATTACGCCCTTCCGTTGCGCGGTGCGTGTCACCGGCTGCGTACATACATCCGGGGTGCGGAGAGGAGGTCGCTGGAGATCGTCGAGGGAACGGTCGAATGTTTTCTATCCGGTCAGTACTGTTCAGAATAGAGAGAATGCGGGTCTAGAGGTGGGCGTTTGGGATCGATCCCCGACTCCATTCCCGTGACGTCACTCGAAGGGAAGATAGAAGGAGAGAGGAAGACGTCGGGAAGGGTAGTAAATGGGAGGGACGGGGGGTGGTGTAGCCGGGACTTTCCGGGCGTCCCAGCGACGTATCGTTTTCCTCTCTGATGGTGCTGCCACTGCTGTTGTTGCTGCAGGTGCACCGACGTGTGAAACGACGTGTAGCCGGCACGGTGGTGTAGTGGTGGTGGTGGTAGTAGTGGTGGTGGTGGTGGTGGTGGTGGTGGTGGTGGTGGTAAAAAGCATGCGAGCGTCTTTTTCGAAAAGTACTGATCGATCGCGACCTTCGTCGCGAGTCGAGAGTCGTCGCGGACGAGAAGTATACGCGCCACTCGTCTCGTAGGCAAGCCGTGGAGACACAGTCTCCGGCTGATATATCTTGAGGGAGGAAACCGCCGGGTTCCCCGAGAGTACAACCCTCGCCGGGTGGTAGTGGTGGTGCTAGTGCTGCTGCCGCCGCCGCAGCCGCTACGTCCTGCATCTCGTTACCGCGTCCCGTGAAACGACGTGTAGGTGGTGGTCGTAGTTGGTCGTGGTGGTGTATCTTGTCTTTCAAGTTCGTCCCCCCTTTGAAGCGGATCACCGACCGTGATACTCGCAAACGTAAGGGACCGCTGCCCGGATCCGTCGTCATCGTCGACGTCATCACTCAATCGTGACGATAACCGGTAAAATGTTGTGCCGACCATCTTGATTGTGGTCCCGTTGCGGCACAGTGCGGAGCAATGTGCAGCTCGATTCCTACTCATTGCTTTCCGATCGTTACTATCAATTTCTTTGACACGAGGGAAGTCACTCGATACACGATACTTCGTGCTCATTCATTAAGTCGGGGATTGTTAAGGTGCGAACGAAAGGTGCGGGCAATACCCGTCGTCTTCTGTGACAATTGTATTTGCGCATCGTATCGATTAATAGTTTCGAATATCCTTGGAAGAAAATGGAGAACGGGACTCTAGCCGGTAGTGTCCGTGCTGGCTGATG